ATTCCCATTTTGAAAGACTTAGAATCCATATGGAGCAAGTTCTTGGAAAAAAGTTTCTAAAATATAAAAAAAAAATTGTCAAATGAAATAGTGAAAAAAAAAACACCTTTATATCATAAATCATTTGAAAATTTGAATGGTAAAACGAAACTTGGCAAAAGGAATTCAATGAATTTCAACCTTAGTGATTAATTTCAACTTGTGGTTTTACACCAATGCTTATTTCAATTATTTGATTGTTTATTTAAGTGTCAAGCACCTTGAATGGTGCCCAGCCCTCATTGTGCACATTTTATACTAATAAATAATTTACAATACAAAGAACGACTGAGAGTTGGTATAGTAGCTTTGTTATAGACAGCTGCTGAAGTTTTCATGGCTTAGGGATCCAGCTGTGCCTTTGCGTTGTGTTTAACAGCTTTCTTCCTCATCCCCCATAAGCATCCTGAGTTGCTTTCAAAGTGGGAGAGGCAGATCAGGTGAGCTTGAGAAAAGTTGGGGCCCTCCATGGCATGTATTCTGTGCTTTGAGAGGGACATTTTAAAATATCGATCCCTTATTGAAAGAGTTGCTTGATTGTTCATGAAAACACTAACGTGCTGCTGCCAAAAGCCGTCTTATGGCATCACCCCAGGAGAGAGAGAGAAAGTTAGCTAATATATGAGCCAGACACAGACAGCTTGTTACTAACAACATGCTGACGTCAATTCCAGCGCTTCCACTTCCAGCTTTTCATTAGCCTCTGTAAAACCACAGTCAGAGCTAGACTTCATGATAAAGTGGCTCTGCGTTCTGTATCAGTGTTTCACATTGTTTTTGGACTAGAAACAGGTGACCCTGGAAGGAGAGGGTGGGTGGATTAAGATTTAAGTAACTGCGTTTCTTCCGTTTGTTTTGTCGGTTTACCATTAAAATATTCAAGTTGAGAATCAGTGTTTCCAAATTAAAATTCACTACGTTTTAATATTTTAGAAAGGTTTTTATTTCAAGAACTTGTGTCACATGGATATTAACTCTAGATGAAATCGCCATTGCTGTTTTGTCAATGTAATCAGCAAATGATTTTGTTTCAGATACAACAGCAGGTTTTTTATGGGTACAGCCAGACTATATATTAACATCAGAATCAGGAAACAGTAGTGATGGCTCCACCAACACCGATGCGACTATAGAGCGTGTCTTTTCAAGAAAGTAATTTGAATGAACTGAGTTTAAAATCATATATGTCAACATGATGCAGCTCCAAAAAATGTCTCATCTTTTAAGGTTTACCATTAAAATTATCTAAAAAGGAATAGTAACTTTTCAGCCATTGCCATTTTATTTTAATTTTCACGTTGTGTCATACTGTTCCTTTCATTTATCACTAAACTTATCTGAATGTTGTTTATTTACTGTTTTTTCTCTACTTATTGTTTTATGATTTAAAATCCTAGTCTATAAGCACCCTCATTCACATTTTCCCCTAAATTTTCACATTATGATATGTGTTTACATTATTGTCTGTATCTAAAAATATAAGTTATTTTCTATTTAAACATAGATATGAAATAATACAATATAACCTACATTAAATAAACTTTTATAATTGCACTGGGTCACCAAATCAATTCAGTTTAACCTGTCAAATAAACTGCCTGTAGAGTCTTTAAAGGTCCAGCAGGTGTAAGTATTCTGTGAGACAGTATCAACGCAGGATCAATACAGTTTGGCAATACATCGAAACCCTTCAAGATGCCTCATTAACCCATCACTAGGAATCAATCTGTCA